TTATTATAGATTATAGTTTTCTTCATTAATTTCATTAAAGTAAAAACCTGCCCTGGCTTACTTCTAACGCGCGACTTCAAATTTGGGATTTCAATAGCCTGCTCTTTCTTCACACAGGCATCTCTTCAATGCCCGGTGTGTTCTCAACCCGGTGTATATAATAGCAGGCCCATAACTCACGAGCCTGACTGCGGTAGAAAAGTTGTTAAATAGATAAATTCTGACAATGGATACAATACCCGTGAAAGACTTCGTGAAGAGCAGACAGCTCCGTACTATGTCGTGTGTTCAACACCAGAAGGTCGGAGGTTCCAATCCCTCTCGAGTTAGAACTCTGAGCAGATTCCCGGGGATGTTAGCTGTTTTGGTCGTGACGTCATCACTTCTGGCTGTGTCGGCGGCACAGAATGTTGGGAAGAACGTCAGCACAGAGAGCCTGGGACCTGGCCAGTAAGTACAACCACCGTTTTTTCTGTTATTTTGTGTCCCTTTTAAGTCTTTTTAGGCTATTTCATCAAATTTCAGTAAATAACTAACTCCTGTTCCTTGGAGGCCAATGTCCATTTCATAGCTAGGAATCGTTGCTATCACAAACACCGCCTGTGCCAACGTCGTTGAATCGTATCATCACACCACACATCATCACACCACCATCACCACAACCACCACCACCATCAACACTATCACTACAACAACAAGAGAAGTAACAAACGTACTGTAGAAACGACAAATTATTATGTTGAAAGAGCAAGAACAACAGGTGCTGGGGTAAGATAGCAAATAATAACCTCTCTTAAACACTTCCCCCTTCCCCAACAAAAAGAGATAAAAAGATACCGAATGAAAATGAGCAAAATACCCGCCCACCCCCGACAAAGGATACTCGTCCAAAAAAAAAACCACCCCGAAAACAAAAATCCAAAAGAGAAGAAACCCTTTATCATCTGCAGAAGTAGCAAAAAGACACACGTTTTTAAAAATATGTCACAAAAGAAATAAATTTATAATAATGTGCAGTCAGGAAAATCGGATAACATGCCAAACACGCTAAGGTCATATTATGTTGGCCATCTTTGCGTGCTTGTCAGCGAGTCTGTGGATGTAGCCGTTCAGAACTCGGCTCTGTCACACCCTGTTGTGTTAGCAATTGTCACCCCAAGCAGAAAAACTGACATGCAAGGACGACACAAGGAACTCTTTTTTTTTCGTCTCTTTGTTTGTAAAAAAAATGTGTGGACACAAATCGGTTTGGGAAAGAGGATGGTGGTGTTCAGCAGTGCAGTGAGGTGGGAAGTTTACTCTATGTAGCTGGCTTTCTGGTCACGCAAATATGCACGTCAGGAACGAAAGCTGTGTTTGTCATATGACGTGATCTGAACAATCTTTGAGGTTTTCACTTTGACTTTATGACATCGTAATGGAGTTTTTATGTCAGGTGGCCTCGCTTCACCTTTTGAGTTAAGACTTAGTTGCTTGGACAGGCATATCTCCTACGAGTGTTGTGCATTTTTCACAACCATGTCATTATGGCATCAGAAAAATCATTAACCCATGTACCCATGCTTGAAGCGGAATAATTATTGATGATGATGGTGATGGTGATAATGAGGATAATGATGATGATTATTAGTTTTTGTTTTGTTAACTTAATGGGCCTGACGGACTCCACGAAGAAATCTTCGAACGAGAGCGAGGCTCTTTTTCGGCTCCATTGTCAATATGCTTAGCGGCACGTCCACTCGTCCAAATAACTCCATTCGAATTGCCATTGTTCCTGGACATTCAAACATATGTTTGACTTCCTCATGATGATGATGATGATGATGATGATGATGATGATGATGATGATGATGATGATGGTGACAGCTTGCACTGAAATCGCACTTTTTTCAACAGATTGGGTCTTTTTCTGGCTCACCCATTACATTTATTGTGTTTTATGAGATGACAATCAATTTGGAGTGGGTGTCAAAAAATCTTTACTGCGACATTTGAGTTTTTATTGTTGTAGTTATTTAGTTTGTTTACCTGTTAATTGTATTTGTGTTTTGTTGCGATTTTCATTCCCTTGTCTCGGTTAGACATTGTTTCACACGTGGCTCCTGTGCGTTCTGTGTATCGGGCCTTACTCTTAAAAGCTATTACAAAATATTCAAATTAAGATTTAAAAGCCAATTCGAGATCGTGTTTATTTTGTAGCTTAACGTAGTTATCTCATTTCAATTGCACAACTTAGTAAATCGACATTTCATCCTCATCCAAACAATATTCCTGCATGTCCCATGGGTTTTTATTCGTTTTTAAATTTATTTATTTTAAATCGTAACTATTACAACCATGTTGACACATTTTAAACGTAACTTGTAAACCATCCAGCCCTAAATTGTGAAAATGAAAAAAAGCAAACAACAAAATGAACAAGAAAAAGAAAAAAACAACCCTGAAAAGTAGGTCGCCCCTTTCTATCTTTGTTTCCACTGTCATGATTCTCTCCAGCTCTTGTTTCGTAAAAGCTGCTGTTCTCCCGATGAGCTATTCTGCAGAAAGTCCAAATAACTCATCCAGCGTCTACCGGTCAGTCGAGCCGAGGAATCATTAATGGGCGTGAATCTCTCCCATAAGTCGTAAGTTCTGGTCATTTGAATGTTTAATGTGCCATAAGAGTGGCCAGTGATCACCTTCCGTTACATGGCGCTGCTCCGCTTCATTGGGCCCACAGAAAGATCTGGTTTAAACAAACTGGATCGGCCAGCTCCGTAAATCGGCGAGCAAGTGATAAGTCCAATGCCATTGAGACAATGCCACAATACATTGTGTCGGTCTCGTCCATAGATTTATGCCCCTAGACTGCGTACTGTCATGGACACCGCTCTTTGTTCTTTGTTAAAACTTCACTGCGAAGTGTGCGCGCCTAATTGCCGCACCAGTACTCCCAAAATAAAGGTAAAAATTAAAAATCTCGCTCTAGTCGAGTGCAAGTAGCATCTTTTTCCTTTGCTCTTCAACATACGCCTAAGTGTAAATGCATGCTCTAGGATAACATTATAATGCAAGCCTATTCCCTAGTATCATAAAGAGTAAACCGAAATTTTGGCATTCTAACGAGCTTCTACTGGGTATACCTGATTGAGACGCGCGCGCGTGTGTGTGTGTGTGTGTGTGTGTGTGTGTGTGCGTGTTTCTGTGTGTGTGCGTGCGTGTGTGTGTGTGAGTGTGTGTGTGTGTGTATGTGTGTGTGTGAGAGAG